GGGCGGGGTCAGGGGCGGGGCCTCCCGCGCCATGTGGATGACCGCCTCGATGGTGGCCATGACTGCGTCCTGGCTGGCGGCCGGCTCCAGCACCAGCGGGCTCAGGCTGGGCTTCTGGCCCCTCTTGCTGGGGAGGTCGATGCACTTCTCCAGCACCGGCATTTGGTCTCTGGAGTCCTCGTCGAACTGGGTGGGCTGCTTGCGGGGACGCCCTCGCCTCTTCTTGACGAAGTTGTTGCCTGTCTTTGATTGTCTCTGCAGCCGCTTGGCCTTCAGGATCTTGTTGACGTGGTCCAGGTTCTTCTTGGTGGACAGGATCTTGGTGTAGTTGCACATCTTCCGCACCTCGCACTGGATGGCTTCGATCTCCCGCCGCTTGAATCTCTTCTTCAGGGAGGAGCTGGCTGTGGGAGGGGAAAAGAGAAGAAAAGTGAACGCTGGATGCAAGCTGTCCTAACCCTAAACCTCACCTTTCCGATGGTGACTGGTATTTGACTGTGTAGATTAAAGAAAATGAAAGCTGTGGCTAAGAACTCAGTATTTATTCTTTTTGTTCACCAAAAGGAAAAAAAAATCATAACATGAAGCGCAGATTGGATATCTTTTATGTGTGTAAAGTACTTCTCTTTACATTTTATCAGTCCTCACAACAAGCACATGAAATACCACTATTTTATGTTAAGGAAGTGGTAAGAAACTGCATTGCAACCCTGAAGGCATGTGGTTCGAATCCACCTGTTGCTCCTCAGGAAAAAAGATGGACAATCTCCTCCCTCTTGTGATTTAACATCCTCTCACTGGAGGCTCAGCTATGAGATGGTTTGGACTCTGGCACATAACAAAAGAAGCTCCATAAGGGACATTCTACTCCATCCTAAAGGATCACTGTCTGGTGGAATTGATGTCAATGGGTTTATCAACCTAGAGATCCCTAAGTTATATGCAAATAGTTTTCTCTTGACTACTAATTCAAAGGTCCATGGTTCAAACCCACCCCATGCAAATGGACACACACACAAGCCTACCAATTGGTGTCCATTAAGATTACAGCGAAGAAAACCTGATGGAACAACTGTACTTACAACACATGGAGTCTGCAGGAGCCAGAATAAATTAGAGGAAAACATACTTTTAACCTAGTAGAAGAGATGTCCTGAGTGAATATAAAATAAGTAACAATGTATTTTATCCTTGTCTTCAAATGACAAGAGGAGAGCATTCTTTCCTGGGACACTGTAGCTGGGATGGCATCACCTCTCCTAGTTTTGCCGCAATCTTTTGGACTTGCCAGGTTGCTGGAGGATGCTAACCAGGTTTCCCCACACTGAGTCATCCTCTGTAGGGCTCAAGGGACACGCCTGCCAGGTGTTTCTCAATCACACCCTTGCTACGGGGAGCCTTGTTTGCAAAAAAGCTCCTTTCATGTCCTGGTGGCCAGATGCGCCTCTATTTTATGAGCCAAGTCTCTCTTCTCCGGAAGTCCTGTGCAGCCGCCACTAAAATGACCTTCAGAACGGCTTCATTTTGAAGATCAGACACCACAAAGTGTGAACGGCTTCCTCATTCACACCATCGCACTTCCTGACTATTGATCAAGAGTAGACGCGCGCGCGCGC